TATTCTTATTGTAAAATATTGGATCATGTTTCTATGTTCCAAGAGTCTAAGAACAATGACGATCTAATTTGAAGCCATATGGCTTTCTTTAATTTTCAACTACCAGTTGGTTGGATTGTCCCTTTTACATTGTAAATTCCCACAATTATCATGTTTCTTATGTTATGTTGATTTTGTTTAACTAAAATGTGCTTAATTTATTTTATTTATACTGATAATTATGGGAAAGCAATTGAGTGCATATACTCTCTGACACACAATGTGTGTCATCTTCATTTATGACTGGGGCTTCAATGACACGCAATGTAAGTCATACATGCATGTCATAAATTTATGACACACAAATGTGTGTCATCTTCATTTATGATGGGGCTTCAATGACGCTCAATGTGTATTATAAATGCACGTCATAAATGTGTGTCATAAATGCGCGTCATAGATTTATGACACACAGTTGCGCGTCATCTAAGATTCATGTCGGTGGCTTCAATGACAGGCATTTGTGTGTCATCCGCACCCATAGATGACGCGCAATGCGCGTCATTAAAGGGGTTTTTTCTAGTAGTGTAGCTCACTAAAGAGGTTCACAACGGTGATCCATAGCAAACCCAACCAATTACTCCTATAAAAGCTTGATTGTGTGATGTTGTCAAGTATTATGTCGTTCTCCGAAGTTCAATTTTAAATTCTTGCTACAACATTATTTTTCTGTTACTCGACACTTCACTTAAACTTATGCCACAACAATATTTCACTTTTCACCTTATCACTTCACTAAAAATTTCACCACAACTATACTTTTTCACCTATTCATACCATTTTTGAAACAACCAAACTTTATTCATATATCTACACCATCATATATATACATACATAGATATATTTAGTGACACCTTTTTTGCTATAAAATCTTTTAAAATCCCTCAAATTCATGTGTAGACGATACTCACTCACTACTATATTACTTGATCGGTTGTGTATACTTGCTCACATTTTCCCTTTATTTTTGTATAGGTTTACTTGTTATTTTATTTTGTTTGTATTTTCAGGTTTAGTTGGTGTATGACCCGAGGGTAACCCGAAGAACCACTACTACCTACTGAACCTGAGATTGAGAAATTTTTCAAATAAATGAGACATGTTCAACATACTCAAGCAAACATGTATGCAATTCGAAACCAAGGAGGTGACCAAGTGGAGGACCGTCAAGATCCAAATATCGCAACAAATCCCAATGCGAAGATTGCTGTACACCCACATGGTATTCAAGATCACCTTACTCCTATTTTGGATAACTAAATCTTAGTATAGTGGCACTCGATATTTAGGCAGCCCACTTTGAACTCAAATCGGTGATATTTAATATATTGAACTATATCGGGCAATTTGGTGGTACACTTCACAAAGATACCAGGCAACATATATGCGCCTTCTTTGAGGTGTGTGATTCATTCATATAATAAGGAGTACATAAATATGTGCTGAAGCTAAAATTATTTCCCTACTCATTGAGTGACCGAGCAAGACTTGGCTAAGTGGAGTTCCATCTGGCTCGATAGAATATTGCTCTGACATGTGTAAAAATTTCTTGTTGCAGTATAATCTGACCCATATGAACACTCAACTCCAAAATAACATAGCATTTTTCGTCAAGCTGATGACGAGTCAATGTATGAATGTTGGGACCGATATAAAGGATTGTTACACAAGTGCACCAACCAAGGATTCCACGACTGGACGTAAGTTGTGATGTTTTACAATGATGTTAATTCTCCCACTCTAATGATGTTAAATGCCTTAGCAAATGGAACTTTACTGGACAAGTCCCCTGAAGAAGCTTTTGATATTCTCGACTAGATAACGAACAATGATTACCAATTTTCGCCTTCAAGGCTAGAAATATGGTGAAAAGCTCAAGGGACTTTTGAGCTAGATGCTAAGGACTCCATGTTAGCTCAATTGTCTACCATCACTAACATGTTCAAAAGTCTTTAGCGCCCTAGCAAAGTAAAGGAAGCAAAGGTGGCCAGTTCTACATGCATTTTATGCCATGGAAACCATCATTAAGGACAATACATCTCTCAAGTTTGGGGGAGGTATTGTCCAGAGTTAGACATTTGCATTGATAGTGTTAGAAATGTTTTTTTACTATGGCATTAATTAGGATTAGGATAGTTTGCTAGAATAATTTGATGATGCCCAATGATGATGAAAATTTTTCTATGGTTATAATTGAATGTACATGATTATTGAGAATGATAGAAAAAACTCTATGACTTGATTCTTTGTGACCCTTTTACACACGATTGTATGTTTTCTATGCTTAAGGAACTTAGAAAAATTTTATGAAAGAAATATTGCAGGTTGTAGCATAAATTTTTAGCAATGAACTGAAATGTTAATTGATAACTTAAAGGCTATATTAAAACTCCTTTGTAATTGTGAATTACGAATAAATACTTTGGCTTAACTGTAGAGGGGCACTCCGCTTTGATATGTCGTTATCTAGATACCCTTTATAAATAAATGACAGTCGTAGCATATGAATGAATAAAAATAGTCACATGATGACTCTACCTACTAGCTCGGGGATGGAATTATGCTCCAATTCATCTAAAGTGTGGGATGGAAATTGTGATAGGCTGACTATCCTCGTAGCAGTGTAAGAAAAAAAAGAAATGGGAGTAAAAGTTGTGCTAAATGGATAAATAAATGCTATAGAAAAACAAGAGAGCTTGCCAAGAAACTTTCTAATTTTGTTAAGCATAAACTAGATCACGTACACACACATACAAAGGATCTTGTTTTAGGGTAAAGTACTTGAATTCTCAATATTGTCTAGTATTTTGAAGCCATTTATTCTAATGGTTGAAATTCTATTCCACATACCTATCTTGATCTAAAAAAATTTCCATAACATATTTTTCAATTAGCTACTATATATTGCTTGAGGACAAGCAATAACTTAAGTTTGGGGTGTGATAACTCCATCAAAAGACTATATTTTAAGGTCTTTTTACTTAAGTTATTGATTGTCTAAAAGTCATTTTCGTAGCATTTAGACGCATTTAGGTCATATAGTTGTATGTGGTGGAAAAGTCTTACTGTAATGTAAATTTATTGACAAAACTGATGTTGCTAAAGAAAAGGCTCTTGTGGTGGTGTGCAGGAAAGGAAAATAGCCAAGGAGAAAAGTTCCACTATAGCATTCTGGAGCAAAGGACAAAACGTTTTGCTGCGACAAAATTTTACAGCAAATCTATTCGCAAAAAAGGACAAAATAGTAAAAATATCTAGCTGCCAATTGTTCAAGGCTCACGTGAATGCACTACCTTGCTAATATTTCTGGGACCACTTTCTAGCCTGCCTCATATTTACTTGTAGGGTGTGATTCCTAGGGTATAAAGGGAATTTTTAGGCTGAAAACCCTAGAAAATTCCCCTTACTATAAATACCTAAGAATACTTTATGTTTGGAAGGACTTTTTAAGGGTGACTTAAGCAAGGAGGAGAAAGCTCGCAGTTTTTTCATCTTCTTCCTTTCCCCTCATTTTTTATAGTGTCGTCCACAGCCGAGATTTAAGGGGGTAGCAGCTAGGACCTTGAGAGAGGCTAGCTCGCTAAAGAGGTTCACAACAGTGGTTCTAAGCTTCACGGTAGTAGCTCATTTGGTAGTTTTCTTCTTCATGTGATCTTATTTCTTCATTTTAAAATGTGTTTGTACTTAAGGATGATGATGAATGAACTTAGCCCCGCTATGAACTAATTTATTTGGCGTGGGTTTGATTTGGATGAATTTTATTTTGTATTTATGAATAGTTGAGGTATTTCTATGTTTAAATGTTGTTTTTCTCATTGCTATTATTTTAATTACTTAGTCTTGTAAGAGCTTTTGAGAGATTGTCATTTTCTAAGTATATATGTCTAATATTAAGAGAGTTAGGCTAGATCTACGTGAGCAAGGGAACTATACTTGGATGGTTAGGTTCTAATATGCCTTAGTGATAAGGAAAGGGTTTCATTTGACTAAAAGGGATAGAACATATTCGATAAGCTAGTGTTGTAGCTCACACTGAGAGGTATTGTCCTACCATTACTTTTATCAAATTCCTTACTAGAGATAGTCTAGCAGCACTCTTAGTAAATCTTGTCGGGCATCATAGGCATATAATACTCACACCATCCTAGACATAGAATAAACTTTCGCTATAGCAAACCCAACCAATTATACCTATTGAAGCTTGATTGTGTGAGGTTGTCAAGTCTTATTTCGTTCTCTGAAGTTCAATTCTAAATTCTTGCTACAACATTAGTTTTTTATACTCAACATTTCACTTAAACTTCTGCCACAATAATATTACATTTTATACCTCATCACTTCACTAAAATTTTTGCCACAACTATACTTTTCCACTTGTTCATACCGTTTTTTTCCATATCCAAACTTTATTCATTTGTATACACCATCATATATATACATACATGCATATACTTAGCGACATCAATTTTTCTATAACATCTTTTAAAATCCCTCCAATCCCTATGAAGACGATACTCACTTCTATATTACTTGATTGATTGTGTATACTTGCACACATTTTGATGCATAAGTAGCTCCTTGTGAAATGTATGAAATCAGGAGTCTGAGGGCATTCTTCAAAATTATGATTGTTACCGCAATAAACACATGTAATAATGGATGTTGATTTAACTTCATACATACCTTCAGGTTGTAACATCTTCATTATTATCTCAGCCAATGTTGTGTTTTGTGAAGCCATTGAGTTCAACACATCATTCTCCATTACTGCAACAACATGTCTCCCTGACATCATCCTTATGTTAGGATATTGGTATTCATTGTTGGAGATCCTCTCAATGATTTTGTAGGCTTCATTGTAAGACTTTTCTAGAAACGCTCCATTAGTTGATGTGATCACCATCATTCTCATTTGCATGTTATGACCATTATAGAATATCTCTATTTATGTTCAATGTCAGAAACCATGCACTGGACATTTGCGCAATAAATCTTTAAATTACTCCCAAACTTCATACAAACTCCTATCCTCCAATGTTTTGAAATATGTGATGTCATTCCTTAGCTTGGAATTCATATTGGGTGGATTGAAACACATCAAGAATTTTATGCTAATTCATTCCATGATGTTATAGCACCATATTACAGCAAGTTAAGCCATGCTTTAGCATTGTCACGAAGCGAGTAGGGAAATAATTTTAGCTTCAGTGCTTCTACGGGAACTCCTTGATGTACAAAAGAATAACACACTTCCATGAATGCTCGCAAGTGCGCTCAAGGGTCCTCATAGTGCATCCCACTATATTTCCCAAATAATTCCAGCATTTGGAACATCACAGGCTTTAATTTGAAATAGACAGCACGGATGGCAGACCTCACAATGCTAGGATGTAGATCATCCAATGTTACCACAATATGTTCTCAGATTGGCATGTTACGGTCATCGATGTTGTAGCAATGATGCGGCATTCGAACATTTAACAAATGTGGAATACAATATTGAGCCATGTTTGGTTGTTGTTGAAATTGTTTTCCCGAATATTGTTGCATGGTATACACCATCAATTTTATGCTAAAAGAAGTATCAACAAACTAAAAATAAAACAAGTTAGTGAAAACAAAGAAAACAATTATAATGCAATACCATTGCTCCCCCAGAAAGGGTGCAAAAAACTTGATGCTATGAAATTGATACAACAATATACGCAAGTACACATGTCGCAAATCAAGTAATAAAGTGGAAAGTACAAGAGTTTTGAATGTCGAACCTACAGAGAGCAAGGAATTACAGCTTATAATTGTTGATTCTTTACAAAAGATAAGTTTGGAATGAAATAGTGATATGCTTACAACAAAGATAAAAATTCAGAATATTAAAGGAAAGAAATGCAGTAGCAAATAGGAGAGCAAATATACAACTAGATCTAAGAATGTTGCTATCATCTGAAAGTTGACAGAATGGTCGTGTTGTTGCAATACAATTATGAGTCTTGAATGATTAACACATTAATTCTCTCTCAAGAATGAAACACTTAATCAAATGTATTACTCTCATCAAACCAACAATTAAACAATTAACAAAGAAAGCACAATCGACATCATACGTCTCTATATGATTAAGTTTATTCTCATAAACACCGATGTTGAAACTAGAGTAGCATGAAACCTTAATGATTTGCATCTCTAAAAATAAAAAAAATATTAACATACATAAGGATGAATCCATCTCTAAATACATTGGATAATCCCTTACTCAACTATGCCAACATCGTACACAAGTAACTTGGGTGTCCTTAGTGTTTCTCAAGTATCAAATAAGGCATAAGTCTTATGGAATCTTACCTCATTAAGATTTTATTTTATCGTACAATTATTAGGGGTTTTAATTGTAAGCTTATTGTAAGGTTTTCCTCAACCCATGACCCCTATTTTTCATCCTTCTAATTCAAGCTAACCTTATGGCTAAAAAATTTACAATGGTACCGATACTCCCCATTGGGTATCGATACTTTATCTATTAGGGTATACATACTTCCCTGACTATTGATACCAATTTTACCTTTGATATTTTGGAAAACAAATCCTCGATACAGATACCCCTATATGGGAGTATTGATTCTCTACCCTATGTATCGATACTCTCATGAGTACGATACCAAAATGGCTTACTAGAATCTAATCAAGTCCCCAAGTATCAATACTAGGCCCCAAGTATTGATACCACCTGAGAAGTATCGAGACTCCATGATGGGGTATCGATACTCTCCTAAAAAAACCCTTTGAATTTTGTCATTTCACAACAGGAAGTCTTACAGTACTGATACCCTCTCTACCCAAAAAACTATGTTTCTCTCATCAAATACTTCTCAAATAACTTCTAAGGTGTCACCAAGGCGCCCAAATGGTATTAAAGCTTATTTAGTGATTAAGGAACATGAAAGGTCATTACATTACGCATGAATAACAATAATTTATCTTTTTCATACTTTGAACCCCCCAAGTGCACACAAATGGCTCATACAAACATATAAGCATTAAAACTACACAAGCTGATCTACAAGCAATAAGAAAAGGTTAAAAGTGTGTTACCTAACACCTATAAGTTGAAGAATCAACCCAAGGCTCACCCAAGCACCTCTTTCTCTTTTTCCTTCACCTTAGAGCATTCACTCACTTCTATCACTAGGATAATCAATGGAATTGAGTTATTAACTCGTCTAGGAGCTTAAGAAACGTAATAACGTGATTTCTAAACATTAAAACAAACTAGAATCACTCCAAATCTTTCAAAATTTAAAACCCCCACTAAACCTCTTTCATGGCTTCTATAACCATTTGTAGAATTAAAAGGCTTAAAACGAAGCTCTAAGAGAGGATATTACTCCACTTACCTCCTTAAATTCAACAAGGAAATTCGTTCCCACAAAGCTATCACCTTGTCTTGAGACAGAGAAGAGAATATAATGAGTTTTAAAAAGAGGAAGAAGATAAAGATGAAGGGGACATGGTCTCAACGTGTGACATAATCACATTTAATAGGATTCATCCTTTATAAAATTTGTATGGAAAATAACAACTTTAGTCCTTCCTAAAACAAACCAAAATAAAAAACCTTTTTGTTCCATAATGGGCTAAAACTAAGCCCAAACCAATCCATAATTGGACAAGTTCTTCTCACAAGCTTTTTGGGTTTATAAAATCTTCTCTCGGGTTAGCCCGAAACTCTTAACCCAGAAATCAAGACATTATAGTTTTTGTATTGATATTTATGGGAGTATCAATACTAAGGGTAGAGTATTGATACTCCCTAATAGGGATATCGATAGTTAGTTTTTTTTTCAAAATATCAAAGTCAAATTTGGTATCGATACTCAAGGAAGCATTGAAACCATAGACCGAAAGTATCGACGCTCAAACTAGAGTATCGATACCAACTCTATGCCATCATCCTTCAATAAGTTAGTAGAATCAATACCTAAAGGTTAGTATCGATAGCCAAAGGTCAGTATTGATACTGAGGGGCTTAGTATCGGTACCCACGAACAGTTTTTAATAAGAAATCCAAGGGTTTTAAGGGATAGAATTGAGGGGCCCAATAATACCAGAACATTGTGAAATAAAACTACAAGTGAGAACAATAATAAACTTATGACAGGTAAGAATAATAACAAATAGGTTGACTTAAAACTAGCATTATTCGATGCTCGGGAAATAATCAAGACACCCGAGTCAGTTTAGCAGATGACGATCATTCAGTTCAAATATATCCCAGTCATTGCCAAGGTGATTTAGATGTCAGCTGGGCACAAATGCCCCATGACTCGACGTAGTAAGTTAGTTGGGTGTATGTTCCGATGTAGTTTTGAATATCACCCTAAATACCCGAGGGTATTTTAGGAAGGCTAGAGGGGTGTACGCTCTGAGATGCAGAACACTCAACCACACCATGTTGCCTACCTCAACATTTCATGTCAATATTCTTATGTCTTCATACCTATGCCACTAGCATGCTCGTTTAGTGAATGCATGTAGTATACTGAAGTTATTAGTGTGGCATTGAGCTCGTAAGCTCAACGTTCGGAATGTGCTTCTATGTGCAAGTTCTTAGGAGACTTTCTGTGGAGCGTTATTGTCACGAGATATTCCAGCTCAACAGAGATCCTCAGAGTACATCTTAATTTGTAGTAGAGAGCATGTACTATTGTAGATCATTTTTATATTCATTCGTAACTCGTTTTTCGTATTAAACTCGATATTGTTTTATTTGAATATTTGGGAGCTCTCCAATATTGTAAAACTCAGATTTATTAAGTTTTTTTTATATCAATTTGAATGGTTATTTTATAATGTCTACAGACTTTTTAAAAAGAATAATTTTGGGTTAGGCACATTGGTGGTCTCAAGTGACATCGTAATCCATCGATCTTCGGATCAGACCAGATCAAGGTGTTATATAAAAGTATTATTCTATCATATTACATCATCATTTTCGTTAATTCAAAGATCAAACCTAATGACGAATGACCAAAATATAAATGAATAGTAACATTAGATACAATTTAAAAAATGATTCTATAATCAAAATAAAAATATAAAAATAAATGAATAATTAAATAAATAATTCATTCAAAATTATATTGCAAGTGAAAATATATCACGTGTAATACTAATAACTATACAAAAATATTATTACTTTTCAATTAGTAATTACAGATAACTATACAAATTTATCAATACTTTCCGATTATAAGAGAGGTAGAGTCCTACAATGGTAGAAAAGTTATCGTGAGATAACTCGGTTTGTGCATGTTATCATGATCTTTTAGATTTTAAAATTTAAAGCTTACATAATGATAAAATTACATTTGTTTCATAAATAATATAGTTTTAATTTATTTATTTTTAAAATATAAATTATAAATTATAAATTAAATAAATGATAAAATTGTATTTTAACCCTTCCAGAATTTCTAATTTACTATAAACCCTGAGGAAAAAATCTAACTTCTACTGCGTTATCTTATTGTTTGAGAAATAGTCATGTATTCGCCTTTAGATACTGAAAATACAGAAAAAAAAAATTCTCTCATTATTACCAGGAAATGTGAAGGAAAAAAGCCTTGAAATTGAAGCAGCATCTTCAAATGAAAGCATTTCGTCCTCCATTAATGAAACTCATTTATCTTCTTTATCCAACCCATCCATCATGTAATACTCGAACTTTTCAACTACGCTCTCTGGAACTGATACTTGCACTCTTACCGAATCAAAATTACCCACCACCGGTAAAAACAAGCAGTAAATATCACTTGTCAAGGGTCCCATATGCAATGCCTCACCTTCCCCAAAATCCAAATCCTCTAATCCCAGTTTTGCCCATTGAGAAATCACCAAGCTCGAACAAGTATCCGTTTTCACATTCTTATCCTCCAACAAATCAATCATTGACCTCACATTCCCATCGGTTAAACTCGATTTGGCTTGCTGGATTAACTTTATCGCGTGGTATAAATTCACGTTGACCAAGTCTTTTACTACGGTCTCGGCGCAAGCTAGAACAATCCCGTTCCCGTAATACCCCTGTGGCAATTCCGGGACTAACTTTTTTCTAACGTTGACGGAAAACAGGAGCTTGACCTTAAGCGACGGAGGCGACAAGTCCAGGGATTGAACCCACGATCGCCACGTGTGCGAGGCCAATGCCTCGAAGTGGGTGCATTTGAGGGACGGAAAGTACTGCCGTTTGAGGCAGAGGATGTGGGTTGGGGTGAAGGTAAGCGACGTGGGCACCAGTGGTTGTGACTGTAAATACTGGTTGATGTCCACGTGGGTGTAGTTGTCTTTGAGGGTAGTTTTGGTATAGCCGAGGTTTGTGTGGGTTATTTGGGGAGGATCTCGGGCTTTCAACACTTGGATGAAGTGAAAGGGTAAGAAGGTAAAATCGAGCTTGGGTTTGGTGAGCACATACGACCACGCGTGCAAGAACTGGGATGTGCCTATACCATCGCATATACAATGATTTATCGCGGTGCAGAGGATCATACCTCCACAGCGGAGATTTGTTACCTGCACCATAAAATATTAAATTAAATTTGGAGTAAATTGTAAACTACCATGAGTTAATTTTTATGTTGATAATTCAATTATATTTTTTAAAAACTATATTTAATTTTGCATAAATATTTTTATTTTGTTAAAAGTTAACGATGTTGTGGTGATATTTTTATAATTATTTTTTTAATTTTGAAGTGACATTACTTTATAATAACACATTAGTATCATTGTTAATTTTTTTAACGAGAGTGTCTAAAATAAAATTAAAACGTAAAGTTAAAAATTATTATTTAAAATAATAATAATTGAATGATAAAAATAGAAACTAATTAATAAGTGATTTGATCAAATAAGTAGTTTATCCTTAAATTTAATGGTTTTCCCATTTTAGTTAAATTTTGGTGGGTTTAATATAACAATAAGTGTTCAAACTATACTCAAAGTTATTTTTTAGTGCATAAAGATTTTTTAATTAAAAAATATGTTTAGTATTTTCTCCGTTACACTTTTATATGTCTACCATTTAAAACCCATTAAATGTCATATGTCACGTTTAGAATTTTTTTTTAAAAAATACTTTAAATAATTTTGTATTTTAAAAAATATAAAAAATATAAACGTGACACTAACGAATTTTTTTAATGATAGACACCTAAAAGTGTAACGGATAAAACACTAGATATCTATTTTTAACGAAAAATTCTTTAAATACCAAAAATTAATTTTGGGCAAAATAATCCAATTTTGGCGTCATACCTCTTTTGTGCTAAATCCTAAAATACATTCCTTATTTTTGTGATGTGATTAGTTAATCTAAACTGTTAAAACTATTAACCATCGCTAAGTGTTTCTAAACCCAAAAAAAAACTCAATCAAACATCTTATTCCAATAAAAACTTTACATATAAATTAAATGTTCAAGGGTATTTAAAAAAGGAATTCAGGTTAGCACTTTCTCAGAATTACATAGTTGATAGTTTGAACTAGCTAGTAAAATTGTGCAAAATTGAAAGATCGAATTATATCAATTTCAAATTAGATTAAATATTAAATCGTAACATAGAATCAGGACCAAAACTATTATTTAACCTTTGTTTTTAGTAAAGTTTAATTGGTGGGGATATTTACGGTACCTGAACGACTAGGGGAGGGATGTCGAGGAATGAATGGGCTTCAACACTGTAAAGGAGCTTTCTCCAAGACCTGTTTGGTTTCCCGGAAAGCTGAAGAAACTGATGACAAGTGATGTCCATGAAAGCGTCGGCAAAAACAGCACCTTGGCCATTGCAATCAATCTGGAGTTTGTGATCGTGGGGGCTGGAAGCTCTTAACCTCCCAGCTAAAGGGTAGTAGTGTACGAGAACTTTGGAGAGGGAATATTTCAAGATATCTAGGGAAACAGCTTTCTGGAAAAGGTAGAGATATTTAATGGAGAATCTAAGGAACTTTTGATCATCAAGGTTAGACAGATAGAGAGAATGGTTTGGGGTAGCGGAGTTTGGATAGATTAAGGTTGGCTTCTTCTTGTAAAAGCAATCTGGGAGCTCTTCGGATCTTAACATGTCTCTTTCGTCTTTGCTACAAAGCACGGGAAGGAGGTTAAAAGAAGATGGGGAGCAAAATACAACGGAGTAGGCCACGATCTATGGATGGGCATGGTGATAGTACAATCAGATTCCTTTAGGGAAGGGCTGGGAGAGAGCGGATGTGTGCTTATAATAATCTCACACTAATGTGTTTTTTTTTAAAAAAAATTATATTTGGTTTTGATTACCGCTTGTTTAGCAATTTTTCATTTAGACTTTGACACGCCAAAATTATATTTGTTTTTCTTTATGACTATTTGTATTCAGTTTGTTGATAGTTTAATTTAAATTAAGTATTATAAAATTTTATTATATGAATGAAATTTTTAATCTACTTTATTCTATTTATAACATGAAAATCTAATCTCTAATATCATTTAAAAAATGTACCCAAGAAAATAGTGCATAGTGGGTGGAAGAATCTTCACTACTTTCATAGAACACTGCTAGCTCGACAAGCACTTACTTTTTTGGGGTCTTGGAATGAATGATCCGGCAATACACGTACACTACTCAAACTATTATATGAAATGATGATTTTGTCCCTTTGATTATAATTACTTGTTTGACTCGGTTTTATATCAAGATTTAGGTTGCTTCCCCCCCTTGTTCTATGCTTTGTGCTATGTATGAATAATGATTAACTACAAAAATTAGAGATGCGTGAATTTAGGTATGATTTGTTACGGGAAACTTCCATGATTAATGTGGTATCCGGTGTTCGGATCCAACTATTTCAGTCGGACAATAGGTATTAAAAATAGGATGGTCAAAATACTAAACTCGACTGGTTCCGATTCGACCTAATCTTATAGAGTTTTAAAAAAAATAATTTCGGGGGTTCGGGACGGGGCAGGATGAGTTTTATAATAGGTAGATTTGGGGCAGAACCAAATTTAAGGTGAAAAATAATTGGTCCGATCCAACCCAGTTATATATATATATTTAAGATTTCAAATATTTTTTATTTTTATAATGTTAAAATATATTATTTAATTATTAAAAATATAATAAATTATTATAAATATATTATTTTAAAATAATAATATATTTGAGTCGGGTCAAATCGGGGTCGGGTTTTAGTTTAAAAATTTGGATGGGTTAGGGGCGGGAGAAAAACTAAAAATTATCGGGGTGGTCAAAATACCAGTATGGATCGCCCCGTGTGCATCCCTAGTTGAGAAACGAGATAACACAGTGACGGAACATCATGGGCCCAAGGGAAATCTTGACCCACCAATTATTTTTTAAAATATTAATTAATATTAAAAATATTTTTTGAAATATATATAAAGAAATCTAGAGATGTTGTATTCTTTGAAAATATTTTTCGTTAAAGAAATCTATTTCAATGCATGATAATTTTGTTCCTTCCTTTTCAAATAAACATGTTGGAGATATTGAATTTTAAAATGAACCTATGAGGAGTAAAGGACAGAAAACTGTAACTAGTTTTGGTCCAAACTTTCTTACTTCTTTTATTGTTAAACTTGATGACTTAAACTCTATTAATGATTTTGTGGCTCAGACCTTTCTAATAGATGGTGATCCAAAAACGAATGATGAAGCTATTAATTCTATTGATGCTAACTTTTGGAGAAATGCAATTAATGATGAGTTTGAATATATCTTATCTAATCACACTTGGGAATTAGTGGACTTGCCTAAAGGTTGTAAGATCATTAGTAATATATGAGTATTTAGAAAGAAAGTAAGACCAATGAGTCAATACAAAGGTATAAGACATGACTAGGTTTAAAGAGATTCACTTAAAAATTTAGAGTTGATTTTTTCGATATATATTCTCTTGTGACTAAAATCTCTACTATTCGTGTGTGTTTTGCCTTAGCTTCAATTCATAATCTGCTAGTGCATCATATGGATGTCAAGACAATTTTTTTGAATAGTGATCTAGATGAAGAGATCAATATGTAGCAACTTCTAGGTTTACGATTCCTGGAAATGATGATAAAGTTTATAGACTCAAAATCTTTATATGGTCTCAAACAAGCTCCAAAACAGTGATATAATTTTTTTTATAAAACTATTCTTTGTTATGGTTTTATAATTAATGGTGTTGATGCATGTATGTACACTAAAATATTTGAATCATATTGTGTTATTATTAATCTATATGTTGATAGCTTAGTAATTTTTAGTACACACATTGAAGCCATTAAGAAAACAGAGAAGTCCTTATCTACAAGATTTGAAATGATTGACTTGGGAGAGGTAGATATAATATTAGGGGTAAAAGTCAATAAATCTAATAAGTTATTTTCTTTAAATCAATCTTACTATATAGAGAAAATATTAAAGAAGTTTAATAGCTTTGATGTAAATCCCATGAGAACCTCATATGATTCTAGCATATTTTTATAAAAGAAAAAAATAGAATTGTGTATCTCAAAATGAGTATGCAAAAATTATTGGAAGTCTTATGTTTTAATGAACTACATTCGATCTTATGTTGTAAGTAGACTGAGTAGATATACTCGTAACCCAAGTAGCAAACATTTGAATGCTCTAAACCAATTTTTGAAATATATTAAAGTTACCATGACTTAGGGTTTACATTTTGTTGGTTATCCACCAGTCCTTGAAGGATATTGTTATGCCAATTGGGTAACTGATAATGATGAGGTCGGCTATACTAGTGGCTATGTCTTCACTTTGGGATGAGCATTAATTTCATGGAATTCTACTAAACAGACATGTATTGCACGCTTTGCCATGGAATCAGGGTTTATATCTCTTGATTTAGTCGGACAAGAAGTTGAGTGACTTAGGAATCTACTTGTAAAGATTCCTTTTTGAGGGAGGCCTACGTCTTCCATTTCTTTATTATGTGACTCACAAGCAACAATATGTGTTACTCAAAATAAGCCTATAATGGTAAGAAAAAGCATATTCGAATAAGACATGAATATGTGAGACATTTAATAAAGAATGGTGTACTCTCTATGGAGCATGTGAACTCAAAAAGCAACCTAGTTGAACCACTAACCAAATGGTTATGTAGGAAAATGGGTTTTGATACGTCGAGGGGGTGGATCTTAAGCCCATTGACTGAATATAATACACTCTTTCCTATCCCTATGGTTTAATGTTTACAATTGAGGCTGAGTCTTCAAATTCTTAATGGATTCATAGCTCAGGTTTCGAGTGGCCCTAGTGAGAAGGACTTGATGAATCCGCCAACGTGAAAGGAGGAGCTTATGCTCTTAATGAGTTTATAGCCCATGACTTGGGTGGTCCTTGTGAGACGAACTTGATGAATTCACCTAATTTTAATTGTAAGGCTGAGTACTAAATACTCTTAATGATTTCATATCCTTGATTTAGTTGGTCTATATTAAGATAGACTTGATGAAATCACTTACGTAATTGTGAAGGACTAGTTACTTTCTATGAAAACGTTAGGGCCGTTCTAGAGCATATTGAGGTATATTGGTTATATTGTTGATCTATCACGGAACTCGATTGACGAATAAATTAGTCGCGTGGTATGAGTTTACTCTTATCTTACCAAGTTCCAAATTCATTCACTTGTTAAAAAGAAGAATTGCTCGTTTCACTATGTATTAGTTCCAGATATGATCTTAATACTTAAGCGGATAATTTCACATTGCTATTTTCTTATTTCTAAACCTCTTTTTGGATAACTCTAGTTATTTGCATTTGTAGGGATTGTTAATAATGTAAATATATAGTAAACTATAAATGTTTTACCTTTTCAAAAGTATGTGCACCTTTGTTGGAGACTGTTGGAGAAAACGACAGTGATGGGTGAGATTATGTTAGGATTCTTTTTCCCATTTCTTTCTAAATTACCCCTTTTTGAAGCCTATATAAATGAGGTTTTTTCATTTTTACTCTTTCAACTCTAAAACAACTTTCTTCTATTGCTTGTTTTTTGTTCCATGAAGCTTTAAGCTTTCAATTTCCTTTAATTATTTTTGAAGCTTTGTTAGCCTATTGAAATCAATTATTTTCCAACCTTTTTCCTATATTATCCAACCTTCGAAAAAGAGCAATCAATTGAGTTCCAACTTTTTATTTCGGGTGTATAAAACATAGGGAGTACTGTGTTAACCTTGGAGGTGATCGTCTGTTTTTACGATTACACCGGTCGAGGCGAATTTGATTCTAAGGCAATGGACTACAACGACACATTAACACTTTCATCTTGTTCGTTTCGTTTATTGTACTTGTCAATGCTAATTTATTTGTTTTGCAGTGCTTAGTTCTTACATTATTTTCGTTTATCTTTTTTCTCAGGGTAAGATTTGACATCGTCACGACTGATCAAGATGATACTTATTTGTTATCATGCCAATCTTCCCTACTTTAGGCATTCATATTGGATTTTGATAGACAATTTGTGTTTGTGAATAGTTTTCTCACGTTGCTTGATTCTAATTAGAGGTTTGTCAATAGTCTTTCAATAGATTAATTCTATTTTGTGGTTTGTTTACTAATACAGTTAGATATGTTCGTACCTATATTTTTTTTGAGTTTATTTGATTATGTATTCTTTAACCTTTTCCTTACACGATCCTCGTGTGATATTAAATTACTAGTTTCTTCTATTAATGATTATAAGAAAATCTTTTTATTACGTGTTTAGTTTATGGTTGTGTAAAAAAATAAATTAAAAATAATTTTTTTCTAATTTAATATATATATAAATAAATCAAAAGTAAGTATAAAAATTAATATATATTTGTATAATATATAGTTAAAAGAATAAAAAAGAGAAAATTTTAATACATAAAATATTATTTTTACAATATAATATGTTTAGCTTATGGTAATATAAAAATATAATATATTTTAACATTTTATTTATTAATAGTTAAAATGAGTTTATAATTAATTTATTTTTTAGTTATTTTTTGAAAATAATAAAAAATAAATAAAATAATACATAATTGATAGGAGATAAAATGTCTCTGGAGTAAATTGATATATTTGAACTATAAGAATAAATGTAATTTATGCCAAAAGTAATTGAGAAGAGTCTCTTACAATTAAGAAAATAAGTTAATGGGATGTTTTGAAGCAAGGGCCAGAAATTAGATATTTTGCTGTCGTTGGATGTAAGAAAACGAGGCTTATCCAGATTGTTTGGGAGAATCACCACACACGTGCCGCTTTTACGAAATCTTGTTATCTTTTAGAAGTGAGACAGCTAGGGTTGTTTTTTTCTATAATGGTTTTTTTATTACGAGTACAAGTACGAACTGTCATTTTTTCTGGGTAAATTGAAACAAAAAAATAGCTCGAGTTTCAAAACGAATTACAAACAATTGAGGTATTAAAGTGGTAAAATAAATATAGTTAAAGGTCAAATTATAAATTACGTCAAATAATAATAAAATAAAAAGGAATCTCTTATCGTCTGCCAATCTCCCACTCCTTCTCTGATTTGCTTGCTCTCCATTTTTCGAAGCTCTGTCTCTGTTTTCTTTTCCTTCTCAGTTCTCCCACCCCTTAAATCAATTTGAATTTTGATATTCCAAAAGGCTTCTTCATATTACAAGCTTTGTTGTAATTTACAAAGATCCGTAATTCTCTAGACTGATCGCTGTTCAAAATCGATCATTTGATTATTCATCTGTATAGTAATAGTTCAAGTTTTGATTTTTTTTTTAAAAAAAAACTGAATTGATGCTTTAATTCTTATAATTGGACCACCCGCCGTCTTCAAATATGTACATATCTTCTGATCTCGTTTTCGGATGGTTTTAGTTCATAAATTGGGTGGAACGGTGAATTCCCTATAAAATATTATAATGAAATTACGATTGATTAGTATCTGTTTTTTATACTGATTTGTTTTAAATTGTGGGGCAGGTGATAGAAGAGGTGAAGATGGGTTCTTTGCAAGGACCGGTTATTTACCCTGCCGTTCGTAGCAAGCAAGTCGGTGTCTATACGTTGCCGTTTAATGGGCCTTCTCCGAGGGCAAGATTGCATGGAAGTGATTTATGGGGTTATGGAGGGATAACTGATAGAAAGTGTAAGCCGCGTGGCGTTTCCGGTCACCTGAAGCTACGGAAGTACAACACCACGGTGCAGTGTATTTTCAGTTCATCCTCAGATGGGAATGGAAGCATGGCTGAGAATTTCAATGAAAACAATGAAGATTATGTTAATTCCAGTGTGGTTGAGGCTGGTATGTGGATTCTAAGCCAGTGGTTACTTCATTGTCATTTTTGTGTCGTCTGTCATTGCCATCGTCGGGTCTTTGAATTTGATATAGAGAAATGTTTCTTTTTATGTAGAGAATTGTTGATATGATATGTATGTTGTGATTGTTTCATATAGTTGAGGTGAAGAGTGGAGCTGATGGATTTATGATCAAAATGAGGGATGGTAGTCATTTAAGGTGTGCCCCTAACAATCCCCAAGGTGGGCATATACCGGATTATGAACCACATCCTGCCATCGTTCTGAAGATGGAAGACGGGACGGGTCTTCTTCTCCCAATCATTGTTTGTATGTGACCATCTTTTGCTATCATCCGATCATGACTCTGTTTATCTGCTTTTATGTTCTAATTTTAATTTTGGTTATTGTTTTAATTGCAGTGGAAATGCCAAATGCGCTGCTCATGGCAGCAGTGCGTAATGTTCAAATCGTACGTTTTCGTTCTGTATCCCATTGAGTCAGGATTCTTATATTTCTGGCATGTTGGATTATTGGATTTGAACTTATGAGTCACTTGGTTTTGTATCGAATGTGAATGCTAATATATGTTTAGATTATTGTGTGCAGGCTAGACCTACTGTGTATCAAGTAGTAAAGAACATGATTGACAAGATGGGCTACTCGGTATGATTTGTTTCCATCACCATATTTGGACTTGTCTTCGCTTCTTTGTGATCCGGTTGCAAATTCGTGATATTTGTCTCTTGTTTTTGCAGGTAAAACTTGTCAGAGTTACTAAGAGAGTGCACGAGGCCTATTTTGCACAGTTGTATCTGACCAAGGTATTCGTCTCTTCCACTATTAGCACATTTGTTTGACATTCAACGCTGAGATATTCATGTAGAGCAGTCTTCACTGAATCATGTTGGATGTTCTCACAGGTGGGTGATGAGACAGAGTCGGTCACTTTTGATCTTCGGCCTTCTGATGCCATCAATATTGCTGTGAGATGCAAGGTGCCTGTTATGTGTTAGTCTCTAGTATAATTCCGATTTTCTGCCAAATGGCCTTTCGAGCATTTGACTCGGTTATATCTGTTTCAAAATTGCATCTGCTAGGTCATCTATTATGAGAATCTAAGGTCGACATAATGGTCCTTGTTGAAGCATATTAACATATTTAACTAGTGATTGTTTTGACAAATTGCTTTAAATCTTGCTAAAAGTATTTTCAACAGCTAAAATGTGTAAGTTGGCTCATATGCTAATTGATAATATCAAAGACTCATCATTGAGGAGAAAGAATACCGAAGACACGGTTTTGTATTGACACAAACGTCTATACCAGTATTAAATTCCTACCTAAAATGTGAGTTTATTGGAAGCCTACTTGATGTGTTGTGTAGGTACCTATACAAGTTAACAAGTACTTGGCGTACAATGATGGTATGCGCGCAATTGAAGCAGAGAAGCTGTCGATGCGGTCTCCAGCTTCGGGTGGCTTATTATTCACCGAACTGGATCGGTTAGTCTTGAAACCCCTTATGAGATTGCTTGTGTTCCATTGAGAGAACAGAACATGTTAAAAGTTGCAGCTGCAGGAGATTCTTGTTTCTAAATTTCCAGACCTACAACATAAGATGCTTTAATTTATGGTTTCAGGCCAAGTGGTCAGTATTGTCTCGATACAGAGGAGTTCAACATTGTCTCCGACTTAAACAGGGCTGTTAATCAGGAGCGCTACAAGGATGCTGGTACGTCCCTCACTTTCCCCTTCATCGACTGTCAAAAACATCATTCTTGGATTATTTAATTGTAATCCAAAATCAAGTGAACTTATTTGTTGCTGATGTTTAACATATTTAAGATTATAAAACATATCTGACAGCTGACTTGAGAGACAAACTTGGCGAGTTTCGTGCTCAAAGGAACTTGAAGAAGTATACATAACAGGTGATGTTAATAACTTGAACTAGGTTGAATCTTTAACGTGTGATTGTGTTCATATATCGGTCTTCAGCTCTGGTCAATCGAAACGTTAACAAGTTCTTAGTTTTGTCACAGTTGTTGCATTGACGCCTCAAAATGTAAATAGGAATTATTGTCGGAAGCTGATAAACTTGATGGTGATTCAGTTATATTTATGGTATCTTCTGCTAAATATGTATGTATGTGAATGTATATATGTACATATAAGAAAACGGGTATGTAATATGTTTTAATTAAGCACGTTGATTTATGCTTTATCAATTCATCATATATTTATTCTGAAATATCGAACTAAATTGTATTTAAATATACAATATCTGAATCTACAAAATAACACATGCAAATATCTATTGCTATCACTAGAGGAGTAATTGCAGTTGTTCACTGCCCTTCACGTCTTTCAAAATGAGGGAGTGGTTAAACAGTTAAAAATTCATTTTTGTATATAGCCACTAATTGGGGCTTCCAACTAATGGGATCCCCAATTTTTAGGATAAAATACGTAAATGATCACTAATGTTTAGATAAGTGTTCGTTTTCATCACTGATGTTTGAAAAGTCATAAATCGATCATTAACGTTGTCGTTTGTTGTAAAATGATCATTCAACGTTAACAATTTTCACTATAGGTAACGAAAAGTTGATGTGACCCGTTAATTGCTAATTTGATATCATTTGACTATGTTGAGAAACTAAAGACTATAAAATATCAGAAGAATATACCAGTGTTTATTGACTGAAGTTTACATGTTATATACAACTCACAAACCCAAGCTAATTGCTACTAACTGCTGACCGTAATGAATAACAACCTTAACAGCCAGCTACCATCTAAGACTAACAGATTACAACCACCCAAGCACCATCACAGCAGTTGCACCTTAGTTATACTTAACATTCACCCCACTTTTTCCTTCTCCCCGAGAAATGATTGCACATTGACCTTTGCACGAAAGTGTTCAAACTGTGCTATTGATAAGGGCTTGGTCAAGCCATTAGTTACTTGATGACTAGCAGGAACATAGTTAATCAACACATGCTTAGCTGTAACTTTTTCTCTTACAAAATGCACATCAAGCTCTACATGCTTTGTTTTAGCATGATAAACTGGATTTGCAGTTATGACAACTGTACTATTATTATCACACCAAATCACAGGAGTCTTGGACTGTTGAAGTCCCATGTTTGCAAGGAGTGCATTCACCCACGTTGTTTCAGTAGTAGCATCAGCAACACTCCTATATTCAGCCTCCATGGTGGATCGAGAGACAGACTTTTTCTTTTCGAACTGCACATAACCAAATTATCACCAATAAAAACACAATTACCTATGATAAACTTTCGATCATCTGTATTGCCACCCCAATTAGCATTGGCAAAAGCCACAACATGTAGTCCTGCCATAGCTAGAGCTATAACAAGATCATGATTAAGTGTACCAATCAAATACCATAGAATTCGTTTAACAACTACAAAATGCTCCTGCCTTGGTACATGCATGTATTGTGCCACCTTATTAACACTAAATGAGATATCTGGATGTGTATGGCAGGCATATAGAAGTGCCCCTACAATACTGCGATATTCATTCGCATCAGAGAGCAGATCACCAGCATCTTGTGTAAGTTTCGATGTCACCAGCATAGGAGTGGACACAGCCCCATCATTGTGCATCTTGGTCTTTATTAACAATTCCAGGATGAACTTGCGTTGACTAAGAATCAACTCCTCACCACACCGTTTAACCTCAATGCCAAGGAAGAAGCTAAGCTCACCAAGATCCTTTAGAGCAAACTCATCGCCCAACAGTTTCACAACTTCTTCAATCTGAGCATTTGACTCACCTGTTATTACTATATCATCTACATAAACCAACATATACACATACATCCCTTGAACACATCGTATGAACAACGAGTCATCTGCCTTGGACTCTTTAAACCCTATATAAAGCAAGTATTATTTTAACTTTGCATGCTAGCTCCGCGGTGTCTTCCTCAAGCCTTACAAGGCCTTCTGTAGTTTACACACCAACATAGTACCATCAGGAGCCCTTTGTTCAAATCCAGGTGGTTGTTGCATGAATACATCTTCACGCAAATCTCCATACAAAAATGCATTATTCACATCAACCTAACAAAACTGCCAGCCCCTTGATACAAGTATGGACAAAATTACATTAAGAGTAGCAAACTTAACTACAGACTAAAGGTTTCATTGAAGTTATGACCTGGAACCTAAGAGTACCCTCTACAAGCCAGCCTTGTATCGACTGATGGACCCATCTGGGGTTTTTTTCAACTTAAACAACCACTTACAGCCCACCAATGACCTTCATTCAGTCAATAGAACAAGTGACCACATACCATTTTCCCTCAAAGCTTTAAGTTCTACATACACATCATTCTTCCAATGCGAAGACTGAAGAGCCTCATGCACATTAGCAGGTTCATTGTGTCATACTCAACAGAATACACCTTGGGCTTGAAAACACCACATTTACTCCTCGTAAACATTGGATGATGATTCACCGTAGCCTCAACAACACTTCTTGCATTTGAATCTACACACCCAAGGGTATTCAACTCTTCACTATAATTCTCAACATTACCACCATTAGCTACACCATTCTAATCAATCTCAAAATTTAAGCTTGAGGACTCACCCCAGTTACACCTTCATGAACTAAGTCATGCCTCAAACTAGTGGTAACTGGCTCAATACCCATATCTACACTACAAGCTTGTAGCTTGCTAACATCTGCAACAAGCTCAAGATACCTTGATTTTGACAGAGTAACACTAGATGCCACAGAAGGAGCAGTAGAACTTGTGAATGGAAAAATTGACTCATCAAAAACCATATGCCTAGATATATACACTCTTCCATCAGTAGCTAAGCGCATATAACCTTTATGTTGTGGGTTATATCCTAAAAGAGTACATGGTTGAGACCTGAATTCCAGCTTGTGTCTTTGAAATACTCGCAAATGTGGAAATCACTTGCATCCAAACACCCTCATCAACTCATATTCAGGTTTCTTTCCCCACAACTTCTCAAGAGGAGACATCCCATCTAATACCATTATTGGAATGATCGATAATGTATACAATAGTAACTGCATCATAATAGAAAAATTACAGAGGCATTGTAGCCTGAGCCAAGAGTACCAAGGCCAACTCAACAATGTGCCTGTGCTTCCTCTCAACTAAACCATTCTGCTCGGAATTGTGTGGGCAGACTACTCGGTGGATGATACCATCCTTAGCTAAACTAAAAGAGAAACTTCTATATTCACTACCCTAATCACTCTGAACAGCTTTGATAACCACACCAAACTGAGTCAAAACCATTTGCTGAAACAGTTTAAAGACGGCCACAGCCTGAGACCTATCTATTAAGAATTACACCTAAAAATGCCTAGTATATGCATCAACAAATGATAAATAGTAGTGATAACCATTGGACACCACATGAGTCAGTCCCCAAATATCAGTGAAAACAAGTTAAAAAGGTGCAGTATACACAGTAGTAGAATCAACAAAAGGCAATTTATGGTTTTTACCAATACAATAAGCTTCACACATATTATTCGTATCCTTAGAAAACATTACATCAAATGTTTTACAAACATGAGCAACATTACTATATGTGGCATGGCCTAATCTGTGATGTCAAAGTTTGAAACTATTTACATCAACAACTGAATGTGCAAAAGCATTTCTACAAGCACCTGGAACTCGATCTTTAGAAAAGACATATAAACCACCTTCAACACGACCACGCAGTAAGACATCCTTAGTAGTAGCATCACGAACACAGCACCCATGAGCATGAAAGTCAAAGTACACATCATTATCCCTAGCAAACTTGGACACCGAGAGAAGATTTTGTATTATTCTAGGCACACGAAGTAGATTATTTAGCAACAAAGACCTAGTTGGTTTTACTAAGGTAGCATCACCAACCATATCAACATGTAAAGAAACACCATCACAACCCTAAGCTTACCTAGACCACCACGCTCTACCCAATGAGTGATATTACCAGACTTTGGGGTCACATAGTGAGTAGCTCCAGAGTCCACTACCCATTCATCCTTAGTAATGATAGAAACCAGGTGATCATGAGAAGAACCTTCTGTCACTGACTGAGATAGAGAACTACTCGAATAACACTCACAACCAAAATTATTATAAGAGACATTATTAGCATTGGCTGAGTCACCCGTATACTGAGGTTGATTGGTATTAGAAGACACTATAAAAATTTCATCATATCGATGCCAGTACATGTCAACAAGATGACCCGGTTTCCCACACAACTAACACTGAACACGCGATATTCCATGTCCACGAGCACTCCTACCACCAGATCTACCTCTAAAATACGAGGGTTGATAAGATCGATGATAATGCGAATATGAGTACGATCCAATCTTAGAAGACTCCAACCCACGAGCAATATGAGTGCTTGCCAAGACCACATATTCTTGAGCAGCTAACTCTGATAACTGAGTTTCAACATCAATGATAATTGTACAAACTTTTTCCAAATAAAGAGACACTCCACTAGTAGTAATTATTGCCATTAAGGGTTTATACTCTAGAGGCAACCCTTTCAGAATGCTTGCCACCAGACCAATTGTAGGAACATCACTGCCACAAGATGGCAAAGCATCACAAGTTTCTTTAACTCAGGACAAATACACCTGCATACTATGTAACATCCTCAATATCGGGTTAGTGACTAAATTGAAATATTTCAGAATTTATTGGTCAAAGTAGATAAATTGATTAGTTTGGGGACATATTGTAATATTTATATAGGATTAAATATCAAAGAATGAAATATGGAAGTGTAAAATGGTCATTTAGTGGCAAGATAAAAATTTGAGAGGGGTTATATATTTTACATGTGGGATGAAAGGGGAGAAAAACTAAAGTTCCAGAGTTCTCTTCTCCTCCTTTCTTCTTCATACGTGAAGGCTCAAGAAAATGTGAGATTTATTGTTAGTTAATGTTTTGTTGAAATTTTGAGTTGGTTATGATCATGAGATAATACTTAAGCTTAAAGAAAGCTTAAGTCAACTTTAAATCAAAGGAGGTAGAAGTTAGGAGAGATTACAGATTATGAGTTTTTGAATGAAAACTTGAAATATAGTTGATAAGTGGAATTTAAAACTAAATT